GAAATAGGCTCACTTTAACAAATGGCTTTCATACAACTGATTATTCAGAGATGTATTTTGGCCTCTAGCTTTATTATAAAGACAAAGTTAACAGTGTTTATGATGAATAAAAACAGTACTAAATTTCTTACCCACTTAACTAAAGGAACTGGAAAACAACGTCTCTTAACAACCAGTTGTATGCGAGCTACGTGTTATAGTGAACCGAATTCGATGATTTTATGGAATAGTTAAGGAAATATTAAAAAATGATCATGTGCAAAATTTTAGTAATATAACTTCAAAACTGAGCGAGTTATTAATAAAATAGTTAAAATTTAAGCAACGTGCCAATCTGGCAAAACTGGGGACGCCATTGAATTCAGGAAATTCTCACTACAAGAAGGATCCTCATTAGAAGTAGTAAATCAGGGGTTTTACACACTTCTAGTAAACATTTTTTTTAAGCATTTTACAGGTATATGTAATGTTATAAGGACTAGTAGTTACAAAAAGGTTTAGATAGTTTTGGCGTATTTTCCAAATGTGCCTGCAATTAAGATGTTTTTGGAGTAAAAATTACGCTCAATATCGCAGAATATTTTATCTTTAAAAGTCGGTTTATTCTGAAAGCACACCTCTTGCTAAGGTATCAAATTATTCGGAATTGTTTGTAGAATACAATACATACTTAAACAGTTTATAAAATTAAATGCTTCAAAAGTTATACGCGATAAACCGAACATTTTTAAATTTGTGAAAAGTACATAGAGCTACACACTTTGAGTTACTTGCCATTATATCGTATGTTGATATTTTAATTATTGATTTAATTTTAATTTTAAGTACAAATATTTTAATGTTTTAACATTGAAAGTTTATTTATTGAATAATCAAAAATTTTCTGTTTGATAACAAACAAATTCATTGAACCATAAATTGAACATACAGAATTTAAACAAGTATAAAAACATATAGGTAAAATACCCTACATATACTCCCCCTCCAGTAAAACAATAAATTAATTAATGTTAAATGTTATTTGCTTTTTTGTTTTTGTAATTGTTAGTGAATTATATTTTTTTGTTGTATCAGAAATTATATTTGCAGGTTTGAGTAAATCTATTGAAACCGTTTTAATCATATTTCCATGTTGAATTTTGAATACTCTGTCATTTATATACCCGAGCGCACTTGTGCACAAGGGTATTATAACTTTGTTCACATAACGGTTGTTTGTAACAGGCAAAACGAATCGAGATAGATATAGACAAATGTATACATAAATGATCAGAATGAAAAGAGAAATCGATTAAGCGGTGACTGTCTGTCCGTCCGTCCGTCCGTCTGTGCACACGATAACTCGAGTAAAAATTGAGATATCTTAACGAAACTTGGTACGTGAACTTCTTTTGGGCGTGGGACAGATGGTATTGTATATCTTGGTAACCGCTGCACCAAGTTCTTCCAAACTTAGCACAGTTGTTGGCCTTAGTATAGCTTACTAAATGGCTGAAAATTTTAAAAATCGGACAATAACCACGCCTACCTCCCATATAACGGTAATTTTCAGAAAAACGAAAACTGCGATATTTTAGTAACTACTGAAGATAATTCACTCAAAATTGATATGTGCAATGAGTTTTAGACGAAAAATAAGAATATTACAAAATTTTGGCAAATGGGCGTAGCCACGCCCACTTATGGTTACATGTGTATATATTGGTAACCGCTACACCAATTTCTTCCAAACTTGGCACAGTTGTTGGTCCTGATACAGCATACCAACTGGCCGAAAATTTCTAAAATCGGACAATAACCACGCCCACATCCCATATAACGGGTATTTCGAGAAATACAAAATCTTCGATAAATCAGTAAATATTGAAGCTAATTTATTCAAAATTGATGATTGCAACAATTCTTTACCAAGAAATACGTTTATGACAAAATTTTGGAAAATGGGCGTAGCACCGCCCACTTGTGATCACATATATGTATCTCGCTAACCGTTCTAGCAATTTGTACCAAGCTCGGTATGGTTATTGTGCTTGCCACATAAAAGCAAACCGTTGAAAACTGTTGAAATCGGACTAAAATTGAGGCCGCTTTTCATATAACGGTAAATTTCAGATATGCTTGAAACTGCAATATTTCGAAATTTAAGGACGCTAATTTACTTAAAATGTATACACCCCGGCTTATCATGTAGCGGTAGCTTTCGGAAAGGTGGAAAACATATATTTAATACTTGCGCCGGGTATTTAATGTTCGGCTCCGCCCGAACTTAGACTTTCTTACTTGTTCGAAATAATTTTAAATGGTCCTTAATAAGGTGATTGCAACTTTAACAAAAACGTACTCACAAGTATCCAATTATTCTTTATTGTGATGTACAACCTTTGATCTAACATTTGAAAAATATTTTCCTAGCTTAGAAAGCGTTTCATTTGTATTATCAACTTCATTATTATAACTGTTCGTAACAACTAATTCACCTGGTAATCTTAATGTTTGTCCATAAACTAATTCTGCAGAAGAGCATTTTAAATCTTCTTTAACAGACGTACGTAATCCTAATAATATCCAAGGAAGAATTTCAGACCAGTGAGTAGAATCCTCCGAAGCAGTAATAGCAGTCTTTAATGTCCTATGAAATCTTTCAATCATTCCATTTTATTGAGGATGATATGGGGACGTATGAATTTTGTGAGATCCTACCAATTTAGTTAATTCTGTGAACAATTTTGATGTAAACTGTGATCCTTGATCTACTGTTATATAAAGTGGAATGCCAAAACGAGGAACGTAATTTTGAACAAATGTTGTTGCTATAAAATTAGCTGAAATATCTCTAAGTGGATATGCCTCTGGCCAACGTGTATGTCTATCAATGATAGTTAAAATGTAACGATTTTCTTTTGACACAGGTAATGGATCAACAAGATCCATATGAATATGTTCAAATCGTCCAGATGGAATGTTAATTTTTTGCGCAGGCGTCTTAGTATGTTTAGAAATTTTTGATTTTTGACAACTTATACAAGTAGAATTATTTACATCTTTGCGCATATTAGGCCAAAAATATTTTGATTGAATCAAACGCCTAGTTGTACGTACACTTGGATGTGATAAAGAATGAATTTTATCAAAAATGATTTTTCTCAGAGAATTGGGAACAAATGGTCTAAAAGGTTGTTGAGAAATATTACACCAAATATTAAGATTAAGTACTGGAATATTAGTTTCTTTAAAATTACTGTTGGAATTTTGGTCAGATATTATGTCATAAAGTGTTTGATCTTTTTGTTGTTCCTCGAATAATGTTTGAAAATTTATGTCTTGGGCTAAAATCATGTTAACATCTGGAATACGTGAAAGGGTATCAGCAACTATGTTTTCTTTTCCAGAAATGTATTGAATATCGTCTGTAAATTGTGCAATGTACTCTAAGTGTCGAATTTGTCGAGGTGATCTGTCTGATTTAGAATTTAGAATATGTGTTAAAGGTTTATGATCAGTATAAACAGTGAATGTTCTACCTTCTAGAAAATGTTTAAAATGTTTAATTGAATTGTATATTGCTAAAAGTTCTCTGTCAAATGTGGAGTAATTAATTTCTGTAGGAGTTAATTTTCTTGAAAAATATGCAAGTGGTTCCAAAGTGTTATTACTCATTTGTTGTAAAACCCCACCGACTGCTACATTCGATGCATCGACAGCAAGTGAAAATTTACCACTTTTATACCCGAGCGCACTTGTGCACAAGGGTATTATAACTTTGTTCACATAACGGTTGTTTGTAACAGGCAAAACGAATCGAGATAGATATAGACAAATGTATACATTAATGATCAGAATGGAAAGAGAAATCGATTAAGCGGTGACTGTCTGTCCGTCCGTCTGTGCACAAGATAACTCGAGTAAAAATTAAGATATCTTGTCGAAATTTGGTACGTATACTTCATTCGGGCGTAGGACGGATGGTATTGAAAATGGCCAAAATCGGACAATAACCACGCCTACCTCCCATATAACGGTAATTTTCAGAAATACAAAAACTGCGATATTTTAGTAACTACTGAAGATAATTCACTCAAAATTGATATTTACAATAAATTTTAGACGATAAATAAGAATATTATAATTTTTTGAAAAATTGGCTTAGCCACGCCCACTTATGGTTACAAGTGTATATCTTGGTAACCGCTGCACCAATTTCTTCCAAACTTGGCACAGTTGTTGGCCCTGTTACAGCATACCAAATGGCCGAAAATTTTTAACATCGGACAATAACCACGCCCACATCCCATATAACGGTAATTTCGAGAAATACGAAATCCTCGATAAATCAGTAAATATTAAAGCTAATTTATTCAAAATTGATGGTTGCAACAATTCTTTACCAGGAAATACGCGTATGATAAAATTTTGGAAAATAGGCGTGGCACCGCCCACTTATGATCATATATATGTATCTCGCTAACCGTTCTAGCAATTTGTATGGTTATTGTGCTTGCCACATAAAAGCAAACCATTGAAAATTGTTAAAATCGGACTAAAATTACGGCCGCTCTCCATATAACGGTAAATTTCAGAAATGCTTGAAATTTCAATATTTCGAAATTTAAGGACGCTAGTTTACTTAAAATTTATACACCCCGGC